TCTTACTACTACTAGAGTCATTTAACAAAAAAATTATGTACTGCTCCCTCCGTATCGAATTGTAAGGCATTTTACGATTTACAATGTTTGATCGACGATAAATCAAACAGACCCTTGTCTGCACTCATATTATTTTTAGAAAAAAAATGCATATTCAGAAACTAAGGTGCTGTTCTGTTCGTCTTATTCTTATTACTTATTGCTTATTCTTATTTTATTCAGATCAGATCAGATCAGATCAGAAAAATTCAGATCAAATCAGATCAGATCAGAAAAATTCAGATCAGATCAGATCAGATCAGAAAGATTCAGATCAGATCAGATCAGATCAGAAAGATTCAGATCAGATCAGACCAGATCAGAAGCATTCAGATCAGAAACATTCAGATCAGATCGGATCAGAAAAGTTCAAACATGATTTATCACTTTTATTATTATATTAATTATTATTATTATTATTATTATTATTATTATTGTTATTACTATTATGATTATTATTATATAATTATTATTAATAATATTAATAATTATATGATAAAAAAAGATATTAATAATAGTTATAATATTTTAATATAATAATAGTAATATAAATGCAATTGTTAAGAAGACTATTATTATTACAACATTATAATAATAATAATATGATTAATATTATTAAAATATTATATTATAATTATATGTAATTATAATTATAATTACAATTATAATTCTTATAATTATAAGTATAATCAATTGTAATTATTATAATTATATCTATAATTAATTATATTTATAATTGTAATTAATTATAATTATAATTACAATCATAATTATAATTATGATTATAATTATAATTATAATATAATATTATAATAATATAATACTAATTATAATAATAATCATATTATTACTATATTATTGTAATAATAATATTAATATAATAATATCATTATAATAATATTAATTGTATTTATATTACTATTATTATATTATAATATTATAATTAATATTAATATAATTATAATTATTATTAATTATAATTATAATAATTATAATTATACTTATAATTATATTATAATTATAATTTATGATTATAATTATTATTTTTATTATAATTAATATTATTATTATTATTATTACTATTGTAATTATTTTACGGAGTAATTATAATAATATTGATAACTATAGTTACAATTATAGAGATAAATATTGTAATTATAATTACAATTATAATTATAATTTTATTTAAATTATATTTGTAATTGCAATTATAATAATAATAATAATTATTATAATTATAATTATAATTATAATTATAATCATAGAAATATTCGAATCAGATCAGATCAGAAAGATTCAGATCAGATCAGAAGGATTCAGATCAGATCAGAAACATTCAGATCAGATCAGACCAGATCAGAAACATTCAGATCAGATCAGAAAGATTCAGATCAGATCAGATCAGATCAGAAAGATTCAGATCAGATCAGATCAGAACTTAAAAAATTCAGATCAGAAACATTCAGATCAGGCGAAGAGAACAGCTTCTAAATGAAAAGCATTACAGAGTCGCAAAAACCAGAATCAAATTTGATAAAAGTTAAGGATTGTAGTTATTATTAGTTATATTATTATTACTATTATTATTAATAATATTAATAACATAACAGTTATTATAATTGTTATTATTAAAATTATTACCCAGCTGAGTATTCTTAACAAAAACGTTTTAATACATATGGAGTAGTATTTAATACTACGTAATATATATATATTTGAGCAATTGGTTGTTAAGTAAGGGCAACATATTAATATTTAAAAATACGTTTGATTAAGGTTAATATTTATCAACAAGGGAATTATTCAGTTTTTTTTTGGCAAAAAGGAAATTATTTAGTTAAAGATGGGTCTTATAATAATTTATAAAGTAGTGTATGTTTGACCACGTGAATGGAAACGGCCAAAACTAACAAAAGGACCAAATTAAGATGCATTAAATAGAATAGGGACTAAGGTGATAGATTTATTAGTTGAAGGACCAAAACAATATGGTGATGATAGTTTAAAGACCATTTATGTATTTTACTCCCAAAAGAAATGAGACAATCAAATTGGGACGGAGGGAGTATTTTTTTATTTCGTGGAGGAGCTTTATTATAATCAAAATAAATAAACTTGATGTTACTTTTCTAGGTGAATTGGATGATGTTACTGTAAAAGACTTTTAATTATTTCTATATAAATTTTTTTCTTAATAAAATATACGAGTATTTTAAATAAAAAATATCTATAATTGAACAGATTTAGTTCATTCAGTCACTTCAACAAATTCATCCGATTTTGCCAATTTCAGTGTTACCCATCAGAATTTAAAAAATTAGAAATGTTGCTATGAGTATTGATACATTGTTATATACTCCGTAATACTCAGTAGTTGTGTTTGGCAACCTGGTTTTGGCTTATAGGCTTCAGTAATGACATCCTTCACCAAGTATTATGAGAAAACTACCTCTTTCTCAAAGCTTTCTTTTCTGTTTGACTTGAATAATATTAAGAAAATGCGATTATATAGTTATATTTAATGTAAAAGGCTGACAAAAAATCATAAAAAAGAAATTCAAATAAATTACCTTTAGTATGAAATGGTTAAAGTGAGACTATTCAACACTCACCTTTTAGTACCCCGCAAGGACTGCAATTCTGTCATGCCGCTGAGTAAATACGGAGTACTATGTAATACAAGGGCAAATAATGATTTTACCAACAAAAAAAGAATGACACCTCATATCTATGAACACTGATCGAACAGTTAGATGAGAGGACGTAAGTTGGATTTTAATCACAAACTGTCAGATAGAGAGTGGTGGGGCTCTAGCCTTGATACTTGCAGAGACCCTATGCATTTTTAGCATAGTAATCTCTTATCGCAGTTGCCGGAATTCGAACCCGAGACTTACCTCTTATGGCACCCCCTATCTACCAGATGAGCTATACCTACAGGTAATTTTTTTTTAAGGTTCCTTGACCAATTTGAAATACTATGTCATCATTATCTCTCAAATTATGTGACTACATAAATCATATGGTATTTGGTGACGAATTTAACTTCTTCAGTATCAATTAGCCAATTAGGTCAACAAAAATACAAACGTCAAAACAAACTTGGGTTATCCAAAGCGACTTGCGCGATTTTTTACCTCATAGTCTATAGAAATTTCTTTTTCTGTTCAAGAATACAATGTCACATTCTGTCCAATTGGAAGTTGGAACTTTTAAATTGAACTCAATTGGTCCGCAACCGCAATATACCAGATCAAATAATGTCAGATATACCAAACTTAAACATATTAGATCTAATCTGATCAAATAATATAAAACACACATAATATCAAACCGATCAGATTAAATCTAAACAGATCAAAACAATCAAGATCGGACAATAAATTTGCAACCTAAGGGATGATATTTGATCTTCTTTTAGGATGAATACTAATTTCAGTGATTTGTGATTGGATCAGGTGACACTTATAAATTTCTCACTTTAAATTTACACAAATATTAATGGGTGTTTGAATTGATTCTGCTTTTGCTCTTTTTTTTAAAGTAGAAGCAGAATCACAATCAATTTGTAAAAGCTTGTTTCATCGGCCTTTCAAACACTGTTTCTAGGAGCAATTTGAAACATTTAGAAGTATTTTCCGCACTTTCACACTCCTGCTTTTTGAAGTAGAATCAATTTTAGAAAGTAGATCCAAACCACCCCTAATAAAGTGAATATGTAATTGTAAACTGTGGTTGATGTAGAAAGTGAAAATGTGTTAATCACACTAACCATTCCTTAAATTTTAATTAAAAAATAATTTGGGACATCCCAAAAGGAAACTAAAAGAAAATTATAGGTCAAAGAAAGCTTTTCTTTCAACCTCAATCCATGTTAGGCTGTCAGCATTGCAAAGGGGTGAAAACCCAAATAGAAAGTTTTCACCCCAAAAAGTGTAGCAACCCATCCCTTTTTCCGTATAGCAAGGCCTCAAAATCGATTGGGGAAACCTAGGGGAGGGAGAGCTGGCCGGCGTATTGACACATTGGCCCAACAACAATTGTGCACAACTATCACGTGCCTGACAGCTACAGTATTAAGGATGTGGAGGAAGCTTGCGCGTGTGACTCATAACTCCATGCGTTTGGGATTCCTTCGTACATGCAATATGGGAGCCAGTTCTTCTGGACTCCTAGTTGCTTTAAAGCAGTTGGACATTACTTAAATACGTAGTAAAAAATTAGATAGAGTGCATATTGCATATAGTATGAAAAATTAATATTATAGCAATAATAAATAATGGACTTTTTTGAATTTTATTGAAATTTATTTTAAATTTAATTCAAGTATGCATTTTTAATACATACAAAAAAATTAATTCACATTTTTTTATTTTTAACATCAGAATGTTTGATTTTTTAAATCATAATTGTTGATAAAATTAAATTGTCACATAAATGATGTGTAACAAAAAAAAAGTAAGGATTTATCATTTAATTAAAGAAATAAAGTGCAGAGTGAATATATATTGACAGTGTTGGGTCGCCGGAAAAAATTAAATAGACTGGATTAGGGGTGGACCGGTTCCGGGCCGGGCCCGGTTCGGGACTTGAACCGGCCGGGCCTCGGTTCAAGGTAGGGGAGGCCCGGAACCGGCCCGGGTAACCCCGGGTCCGGTTCGGGCCGGGCCCGGTTCGGTTCTATATGTTTTTTTGGGTTTTCTTAATAAAAATTCAAAAAAAAAAATTAAATCCGGCCCGGACCGGGCCCGAACCGGCCGGGCCAGTTCACCAAAATGAAGGCCCGAGCCCGGAACCGGAAGCCACCGGGCCGAGTCCAACCCTAGACTGGATGAATACGTATAAGATGATAGGGAATTAGATTTATTGACGGATTGGGTTGCGGTTAGCCTTAGAGGAAATTATAGGAAATCACATACAACTCCACCAGTCTACCATGAGGTCATATGTCATGTGTGTGACTTCATCATGACCACTCATATGTATAGCGGTTTCCTCCATACAACTCTACATTATAAATGAGTGGCTACAATAAAGCCATATGTCATGTATGACTTCATAGTGAAACATAGATGGTTCCTTGAATTTTTTGCCAATTTGACACTAATTCACTTTATACGAGTTGTAGATCAATTTAAAAATAAAGATACATCTCCCTGTAAATTAAACACCTTTTTAGACCATCCCAAGAAACATACATCTCCCTGTAAATTAAACACCTTTTTGGCACAAAGGCCTTTCAGTGTAATTTAACAGACATTCTATCACATTTCTTAAGGCTAGAAATTCGTTTCCGGTGGCTACGGCCCTGTTTGTGTTGCTCCCATTCATGTGCACCTCTAAGAACCTTATTCCCACATGCCTACAATCAAGAGTTTTGTATGTACCTCATGCAGAAGACGATCAACTAAGAAAGCAAAGTTTTTAGACCACCACTTACCTCACAGATATATTGACTCCATAGATCCCTTAGCTTTAATGTTATATCTTTAGTATTATCATTGGTGTTCTCTGAGCATGATTCGCTGTTGAGAAAAGAGTTTATTATTTCAACCGCAGGCTCAACCACTTCTGCTGCCCAGATCTCATCAGAAGCCCCTACAGAGACCACACATCATTTTCAATTCATAAATTAAATATAATGAATTCCCAGGCTGTAAGATGATAAGTAGGCTGATTGGTTTATTAATTTCTTAACTTATAGCTTATACCTTAACACATATAGTTGTTAAGGTAGCTGATCTCATATATTGTTTAGTAAAAATTAGCTAATATAATAATAACATAAAAGAGTATGTTTCAATAATTTGAAGTAAAAACGATTTCAAGAATGGAACTACATACAATGAACTCCGTGAAGCTTATTAAATAAGTTATCTATACCAAACAAAGCTTATTCGAAAAGCAATCTTAAATAAAAACTAGTGTAGCTTATAGTGTGCCAAAATCATAGCCTACAATAGGAAATTTGATGGACAAAATAGCAGACAGAGAAGGTGGTTAGAACTTAGAAGCTACAAATTGTATACCCAATATGGAACTTGTAACATCAATATAATGTATCTCCCATCCAAATAGCACTTCCAGGCGTTGGATTCTTCTCTTCTGGGTATAAAAAAGGTCATCAACGACAAATAAATACCACTTTTGGTCCTAAATGTTTAAATCTGATCATTTATACTTTTATGAGCAGTAAGATAATATATCCTTACTTGGCGACGAACTAGTCTTCTGGTGTTCATTTTCACTTTGTCAATAGCTTCAGTCAGAAGAACTTTTCTATCGTCATCACTAGGCCCATACAGAATATCATGTACAGTTTGTTTAAAACTCTGGATACCATGTGATTGAGAGTAGCATGTGAAAAAGTGGTTGAATTCCCGAACACCAATGGCTTGGCGGAGGCCTTTTGTGTAGTCTGCATCTGTGCGGTAAATGTCAAAAACTTCATCAAGCAGACCAGATTCAATCATGTGATCAACCCTTTTATCAACAAAAGGGTCCAACACCGCTAGAGATGCATCCACACATATAAAACAGAAATTAAATCTTGAATTATCAACATGACCCCAGTTCTGTCCTGCCAGGTGAAAGATATAACATGAGTTACACAATGAGCATATGTATAAAATTGCACATTATTTCATCCATTTACAATGGTCAGTATGCTATTCAAGTATCGTAATCAGTTCTGAAACAATTTTTAATTTCTCAAAGATTAAGACATAAAAAGTAGGAATGATAAATAGAAAAATTCTTTAATTTGAAATGAAAAATTAGCACTAAATTATTGGAGGGCTTGAGTCGGCCTCATTAAATACTATGTCCATACATGTACACAAAACTACATTTCTAGTCCTGCGCGACTACTAGGTAATTCCAAATATTAGTACAGACATTGGGTGTGTCAAATTTTGGTGCACAGCTATGGATTTCATGCAACTTTTAATCATGCTGGGTCAATTATATGGCAAAAAAGTGGTAGGAAAGACATATATTGTCAAATAATCTATAGTGGTGCACTAAAAGTAAAAATAAATGGAAGGTAGGGACTAAATGTGCAAATAACATTATATTAATAGAACAGAAAGTGGAAGACTTTCTTATGGGAATATAAGAAGTCTAGTCCTTTCATACAGACAACCAGGCATTCAAGCATCACAGCAAAATAACATATGATCGAGACTCGAGTAGCAATCCTTTTGCTTGAAATAAACTGCTATTAATCTGGAAAATACAATGGTAAACTAAACAGAGTGCACATACCTTTGAAGTCTTTTCTTGTAGAACTTTACTTGGAGCAATACCAAATCGTGAATACAATTTTAGGTATTGATGGACCTGCAAATTTTACATGTAAAGAATGTAGAAGTAGTGAAGAGTGCAAGCATTATGCATCATAATTAAGAAACTGGTAATGCATTGCCTTTACTTTCACATTCAGAAGACCAGCAACACCTTCTCACTTAGAAAAAAAATTCAAATTTGACACCAGAGAAGAAATATGCATATAAAATGGATGCTTGTAGCATTACTAGGTGTATATAAAGTTTTAGACATCTGATATAAGCTAAACTGTTCAACCAGATGTCTATGGTGAGTACTCTAACTATTAACGGTCATGTTCTATGATTTGCAAACTGCAAGTTAAGTTTAGAATGTCAATCTTGTCATGGAAAGCGAGTATATCAATTATCTCAACTCATCACCATTCACCACCTCCTAACATTTTCCATGCATATAAATATGCAAAATTAACATTGATGATAACAGTTCCGAAATTTCATTTCATTATTCCTTCGTAAGAACTAGTTGGTTCTGATGATGATGGTGGTGGTGGTGGTGATGATGCCGCTCTAATATACACATACATAGAGACTATTGAGGCTGAAAAACTTCTCAACAAGGGAGGACCACCTAAGATAAAGTCCAAACTTCAAGTACTTTTATGAGACAAAATGAAGTAAAACAAGACATGCATCAAATATTTAAACAAGGACAATGCTATGATTTAACCTAAATACATAAATTTAAAGTTGAAAGGACCACATCACAATCAGTGATCCTCCGAGCAATAGAATGCTCAGTGTAATCCAAAGTACGATGTCCTAAAACAACTATTACAATTGCATCCATTAGATGTCACTCTAAATAAGCCGACTAGATTTTAAATGGCATAATGGATCACACAAAGAGACAGCTTTCCTTCAAATGTGGTTGAATTTAGTGTGAAATCTAAAAACACATTTTGCGTATTGAAATCACCTTCCTGTGATCATTTGGATGAATTCGAGCGCCTGCAACTGGATCGATGGCTTTAAGACAATCATAAGTATAACAAAAACCTTCCCGCTCAACTTCAAGTTCAGGATTGGATTTCTCACTGGCTGCAAAAAAAAACTTTTAGATGTCAAGAACGAAGTTTCCTATCGATCTAGCTAGATAGCATCATATCTGTATTCTGTTGGTACAAATTCACAAGCAAAAAATCTTTTACCAACGGTATCCAGTGAGCAATTTATTTCTGTATCTTCACAAGGAACCTCCATAAGGAATGGGCTAACAAGTCCCTGAATGAAAATGAATAATAATGTCATATATAAATTACAAATATTAGAATGACTTGGACAGGAGGGACAAAATATGAAATAAATTACCCAAATTTATGTTCATAACAACGATTTGAACTTATTTCTACTTGATGATATATTACTACTCCTCAACCTCAACCCCAACCCCAACTTAAAGGGACAACCGCAAAATAAACAAAAAAATACTTTATAATGATTATTAGTAGAAAAGTAAAAAATATTCAAGACTACAAAGTGCAGAATGTATTTTTAGAATACACTCTAACCTATTTAAAGTATTTATTCAATAGTACTGCACTACTGCTAACCTTGATTGGAATGACATTAAAACGAGTGACATCCACTTTGAAAGGTAATAATGATGTCATCAAACAACAACGTTATTGGCAGGGCAAACTGTATTTATTCACTTGAAACTATAAAAATTTGCCATTAAAGTGATTGGTGCAACAACAAAGAAAGGATAGTAAAATACAAATAAAAAGATTTATTCACATATAAAGAAAATCTCAATAGAAATGATAAATATTCACAACATGCACGTTCTAAAACGCATAGGGGCCACATCAGCAAAAGTCTCTCAAATATAACACCCTACATGATACAAGGACAAGTACACCTTCCTAGATAGTTAACTTTATCATCCAAACTCTAAGCCCTTTTCTGTTGAGAAACTTCAGAAGAGAGGAAGACTGGAAGAGGGGGGGTGATACTTATTTTATTAGTTTAATATTACTTATAGATGGTTGTAAATGAAGAGAAGATGAAAAATCATATAGAAATACATAATTTAACTGAAGATGTAACTTTCTAATCTATGGCTAACAAATAGAGATAAATTAGTAAAATATATGTAGTAAATAAATACTCCCCTCCCTTCAAAAATCACCAAACCAAACAAGCCCTAAAGGAAATGGCAATACCAACCTGTATATAGTAATTCGTTCCACCAACAATGACAGGCAAAAGATTGTGAGATGATATTTCATCAATGAGCTGGAATTTCAAAAGACCAATGTGTTGGTACTTGGTATATAATAGAAGAGATCTTAAGTTTAATCAAGAAGGGAAAGCAAACAAAGTGAGATTGCAAGATCAGTTATAACAGGTCAGGAACCAATAAATAACATGAGCATGTGAGGATGTGGCTACTAGCAGGATGGTAGATGAGAAAATGATGGACTCATTCAGTGGATATGACAGAACATACAATCTCTAGCAACTCAGTTTTTAATCAAGACAGGTTATAGCTTATATAAGTTATATTGAAAACAAATAGAAACATTTTGATACGCTTAGAGGAATTTATGTAGTCAATCTGGGATCAGAAACCATTTTTACAGAAATAACTCACACCTAAAACACTCTGTATATAACCAAATCAGAAAATGTTATCTCCTAAGGACAATAAAACATGCTTTTTCATCCACACATAAATAGCATAACTGGATGACAAGAACCAAGCCTCAATCCGTTCAGCTACATGGAGCTATGAAGTATGAACCAATAGAAGACTTTGAGATGTCATCCACCAAAAGCATAACTTGATAAAAGAAAAAGAGAAAACAAAATTTCAACACATAAATCAGAATTAAACCAAAATACATAAACAAATATTAAATTAAAACTTCAATATGAAATGGAAATGGTCAAGTGCTATACTGCTATATAGTATCATATAATGGAAAACATTGAAGAAAGTGACTCACTGGAATGGCAAAATCACGAAAATCCTTTGCTGTAAATTCTACATTTGAGCTGATAGTACCAAGAAGATGATGTGCCACACCTATCCCCAGCGAACAATAAAGGAATAAACAAAACACAAAACAGTACCCAATCAGATGTCTTGAACACATACAAGCATAGAATGGGAGATAAAACCAGGAATATTAAAAATAATGCCGAGAGTAAAGATTTTAAACGATAGAAAATTTTTGTAAGAAATCATCTGCATCCCTTTTACATTGCCCCATATGTCTTCAAATACGTACAAGGATTCTAACAACTAATATGAAGTTACCAGACATGCTTTTTTTAGCCCAAGCCTTAAAAAGCCTCTAAGGTCACTCTTGTTTGACTACCACAAGCGTCACCACGATAAGAAAAGAACTTCATCAAACATGCATAAGCATCAACATTTTAAATTTCGATACACATCATTATCATCAAACTTCCTCCGCTCTTTTTTAGTTGCTAACGCTTCCACTTTCACGTTTGCTAACGCACAACTTTGACTATCAACATATTAAATTCCCTAATTGTGAAAATTTCAAAAAAAATAACTTTTTGAAAATTTAAAGTGAGAAGAATTTAATTATATTTTTAAAAAAATAAAATTTTAATGTATTACTACCTCCTTCCCCCTAAGTTTGGGACAAAAGGGTGTGGTGTGGTTTTTAAGAAAAAGTGAAATTGTGTGGTTAGTATTGAATTGATAAAGTATGGATAAAGTAAGAATGAATTCTAACCACTCAAATATTACCAAATGTGGTATGGAACAAACTTAATGAAACGGATGAAAAAGGTAAAACGGGACAAAGATAGGGGGACGGAGGGAATAGTAAATAAAAAAAAGTCAAAGTAGAGCACGTCAATAGTGTAAAATTTCTAATGTTGCAGCTATTTAAGAACAAAGATAGTATATTATTTGAATTGCATGGAAGATATGGCAATGACTTTAGATCTATGAAATAGTCATCTCACATTGCAAGATTGAAACACCCTCCATCGTAATATAAAAAAGGCAGCTTGGTGTTGTGGTGCACATTGGCATCCCCGCAAGGCGAGAATCTTGGGAAGAGTCCCACCACACGGGGGTATATAAGGAGCAAGGCTTCCCTTATCATTTTGATAAGAGGCCACTCCCAAGACTTGAACCCATGACCTCTCAGTCACACAATAACACCATAACCGGTGCAATAAGGCTCTTCTTCCTCCATCATAATATAGAAATGCACAAATTCCAAGATAGCAGCATGCATACCATATAGAATCACATCATCAACGAAAAGTTTGGGAATGGTAAAGGGGCACACCTCTCTGCTCTTCAGGACGAACTTTATTGGTCAGCACATCTAATCCTTGGTAGACCTATAAATCATGAATGAGCATCCTTAGAGCATAATGGTATATATTCTATGATTTTAAATTGCGAACAACAACACCTATTCTAGCCGCAAACTCAGCGCAACCGCATTAAGTCGCAATTGTGGGGTGAATTCACTATTCAGATCACGTGTTACACCCGTAGCGTAATCGCATCGAGCTTAAACGCCATCTTCAGCTCTCCTTTATATTTATCATTATTTCTCTTTGATTTGATTGTCCATGTAAGAAAATAAAAATAGTCTACTTGTTCTTTTTATAATCAAAGTTTGCATCACCTAAATTTCTATATATGCTAGAAAATTAGGATTTGAATTGCTCATTGTCAAATAATACACAAAAAAGAGCATATATTATTAATAAAGCCACACTATTAAAAGAACAACTACAAACATGAATAATACGGAGTATAGTCGTATAGGATAAACACGACAAAAGAAAGTCTAGAAAAGAGCAATATAGCATGTTATTTCCTTCTGAAATCATTAACGCCTATCACGCTGGAATATCAATAATTGTGTTTTATAATAACTATTTACTTTAAAGATATTTCTAAAGATTATTCATTTTTCATATTATCACCTACTTATTTCTTTGTTTGTTGATTACTTATATGTGCTTAAAATAAATATTCACAATATATTTTCGCTATTGTTACATTTCATAGTTATTCAATCGTACAGATATGTAGTATACTAGTATCTTTAAAAAGAATATACTCATATAAACATTATGAATAAAAGATTCTTATAAAACATATTGAGCAAATACGAAATTAATTAACAGCACCTAATCCACACCAGACATGGCAACAGCAGGAATTGCAATGACTGTGACCACTAACAGCAATCGCAACTTAAAACCATGATATCTGTCGTTCTTCTTCGTCTCATAGATAAATATAAATGGACCTAATATCAATATACTGTTATAAACCTGCATGGAATCGGCATTTATGACTTCAACTGGGAAGTGGGAGGCAAGGTCTATTGCAAGTCTGGATTTTCCTGCCCCTGTTGCTCCCATGATCACAATTACCTTTGGCTTCGAATTTGAGTTTGGACAATCACTTCCATTCGGGCGTGTGTGGTGTTGTGTGGAGCTACTAGGGGTTAGCATCTTCTTTGCGCCCTGGAATTCGGTTTGAGTTTGGATTGTTAGGGTATTCGTGACTCTGATCACTAGTTAAAAGCCTGTTTCGAAGAGCCAGATTGGCTTTGGTGGATCATATTGTGCTTATCAGTTAATTTTTTTATAATTTTGATTTCGCTCGTTGAATTGTGTAATATTAAGAAATGTAATATTTGAGTTAATTTTCTGGCTGTATTGAATGAAGTTACCGTAGAAGATCTTTTTAACTTTTTTCATATAATCTTTTCTTTGTTTTATTAATAAAATGTATTTTAAATATAATTTTTTCATAAATTAGCAGAATCAACTAATTCAGTTACTATATTCAAAACTTCATAAATTTCTATAGATTCAGCAAATACAGCCGATTTGAGTATTATCAAACGGGCTCTAAAGTATTAAACTACTAAAGTGCTCCAGATTATAGTAAAAACTTATCAAAATAGGCTAAAAATGCTTGAGAAAATTAAGGATCGATATGACTATATATGAGAGGGCAGGCTTGTCTCGTTAACCTCCATCCTACAAGGTGATACCAACAAGCCCCTACCCGGCCCTCACACATTGAAGCCCTGCTCAAAAATGAATGGGAAGCCCTAAAAGTGAGCTTTTTTTAAGGATCTAGAGCCTCTACCTTGCTTTAGGGCAAGGTAAGGTACTTGCTCTTCACAACGGTCCGATCTAAAATTCAACGGTGAGAGGCCTTGGGGTTCACTCTTTTGCCGATCTCGATACCGTCCTCGTCGTTGTTCTGTCGTCCGATGCTGCAAGACACTCTGCCGCACGACAGAGGATCCCGATCCCCCTTTTAGACCTTTATTTCTTTTGTCTTCTTAAATTTTTCGTATCAATTATCCATATTCATATTTTGTAACTACGTGACTACGTGAGGGCATAATAAAATTGAAAAGGATAAAAATACTACCTCGTGCCATTTCATTTGTCCTACATTGATCTAGCACAAGTATTAATAAAGTATTTGAAAACATAAAAAATGTTATTGCGATTTGAGTATAATAGCATGAAATGTTGTAGACCACATATTTCCTTATATAAAGAAAGGGAAAATTATTATTAACCTCCTGAGGTTATGCCATAATTATTAATGCAATCTTGCATTTTCAAAAATCAATTAGTTACCCCTTGAGTTTTGATCATTCTCACTATATGCCCCTCTCATGTTAATATTTGTTAAATTAAATTTGATATAATTCTCAAATTCAATGAAAATTGTCTGTAAAATTAATTTTTAAAGTATAACACAAATTATTATCATAATTATGAGTCATTGTTTTTTATCATTTTTTTTCTTAGCTACTCGATCGTGGAATAAATATTGATCATAGTAGTTAAGGTAAAAGAGTCTCAATTGAGTAATATTCATGGGATACATAAAAGAAATATTATTTGAAATATGTGTTATCAACATTATATACACCTCTTCATCGTCAATATAAAAATCTTATTTGTAATTCATCCGGACGAATTAATCTCAACAACACTTCTTTCGTATGTAACAAAGAACCAAGAAAAAATGAATTTTATCAATCCATGATCTAAAAGATTGATCTAGTATTGATAAGAGACCTAAAAGACAAAAATGTATCGATATAAAGCCTGAACAAATGAAACCTATCGATCTAAGAACTAAAATATACTCCGTATATCATAGATTTTGATTTGTTTAATTTTTTATTAATTCTATTACTATTTTTGATGATTTCTTCTTCAAAAAAAAGTTTATTAATTTAATAAGCTTAAATGATATTTAATTTTTTTAAATAAAAAAATATAAATTCATAATATTTTATATCTTACTCGTGAGTCTTTTCCCTTAACTACTTTCATTATTCCACGATTGAATAGCTAAGTATAAAAATTAATGGTAAACAACAATGACTTATAATAATGATAATAAATTGTGATTCACTTTTAAATTTAATTGTATAGATAGTTTTTATTGAATTTAAGATTTATATTAAGTTAAATTTAATAAATATTAACATGAGGGGGCAAACGGTGAAAATAATCAAAACTTAGGGGGTAACTAAATGATTTTTGAAAATGCAAGGTTGCATTAATAATTATGGCATAACCTCAGGGGGCTAATCATAATTTTCTCAAATGTGACACTTATTTTGAAACAACATAAGAGGAAAATAGTACATGTAAAATGGAACCGAGAGATTAACTAATGACATAATAAAGAAAAATTAGAACGAGACAAACTGATGAGGCTATCCCTCAGGCTCTACGGCAGTGCGACTGCAGGCTGTTCTAGGAGCTAAAGTTAAAGCTTTAGCTCCGAAGAAGTTAGAGCTAAAGTCGAAAGCATAGTGAACAGGAAGAAGGCAACACGATTAGAAGCATTATATGCACTATTCTTTGGGAAAATGGTCAAATACGCCCTCGAACTTGTATAAAAAGGTCAAATAAGCCCTTATATAGGAAGTTCTGTCCGGCCGTCGCCATTTGGGGCAGTTCCCGGTGGAATTTTGTGATGAAATTTTTTGAGCATCTTATTCATTAAGGGGGTGTTTGGATCTGATTCTCAAAACTGATTCTGCTCCTTCAGGGAGCAGAAGCAGAAGCTGGAGTGTTTGGGTGAAATTCCAGAAGCACTTCTGGAGCTCTAATTTACTCTCAGAATCAGTTTTTTTAGAAGCTGGGAGGTACCAGCTTCTGAAAACTGATTCTGATTCTGCTTCTGCTTTTAAAAAAGAAGCAGAAGCAGAATCAGTTCCAAACACCCCCTAAGTCTAGTTTACTCATACCAAATTTCAGCTAACTATTTGATGGAGTATATGGCCCATGAACCCCCGGCCCATAGACTCCTACTTCTCCCACACGAATCCATTGAGCTCAGGAAACAACTCAGGCCCAAATACAACGGCCCAAGCCTCAAAGTAGCTCAGAATGCACACTGGGATACCTTCGGCCACCTTGGCCGAGGGCTCCAAAACTCACAGGATAGCCTTCTCTGGCATAAGAAGCTGCTGGGAGAAAACAGGCGAAGACATGAGCCTTCGGCATTCCCATGCCCTCGGCACCAAGGGAAGCCTTCGGCTGAACCAAGCCTTCGGCTACACAAGGAGCCCTCGGCTGCACAAGGGGCCCTCGGCTGCACAAGGAGCCCTCGGCTGCACAAGGAGCCCTCGGCTACACAGAGAGCCTTCGGCTGAACAGGCTCAATCATCGAAGATTCCTTTTAGAGACAGCCAACCACCGCATTTAATGCCGTGTCACATCCGCCAACCGCATTCAATGCGGTTGACGTACCACTGCCGGTGCCACCAGGCTGATGTGACCCTTCGGCCGTTGGATTGCTGACACGTGTACTCTCATCGCATTTATTGCTGCTATAAATAGCAGCCCATTTCTCCTTGTAATGGACACAACCTACATCTCAACTCCACGCTGAGTTCATTTAATAAAATCGACTCTCTCTCCTCCTATTTGCTCTGACTTCTCTCTAGTTATTTCCGCAATAACCCCTCGGATTAGATACCCCCCGGGTAGACTATCCATCATTTGGTGCTCTCGTTGAGAGGTCAGAACAAATCAAGTAAGAAACCCTCCCCCTCTACCAAACACAAACCCTCACCAAAAATGGGAAGAACCACCCGTGCCCAATCCAAGACCCTTGAGGAAAATTACGTAGCCCTCGGCGAGACTAACGGGGCTGAGGCCTCCAACAGGCTCTTAGTACCCGAGGGTGGTGTCATCCTCGAATTAGAGCAAGCCACCGCTGACCTACGTCAACAGCTGCAGAAGAACACCCCTGATGCCCGCATTGGCCTTGATAATCGAAGGAGGGATCGGAGTGAGAACCAAGTTCCCCCTCCGGCCCCGGCCATCGATCTTCAGGCTGCCTTTGCGGCCTTTGTTCAAAACATGGCTCTCAATTCCGGAGCCCTCGCCTCTCAGGCACCCCTCCAGCCCTATGCTGCAGGGAATGTTAGTCAATTACCACCGCTCCCTCCTCTGTTCACCAATCCTCCCCCGGGGATTGGAAACGCCGAAGGGGTCATGGCGCAGGACACCGCCTCCCAAGAGGCCCAATCCAGGGATAAACGTCCCTTGATGAAAGAGAAACCCCGGACCTCCGCACTTGAGAGGCTTGGGGGAGCTCCCGGACACCGAGGGGTCCAAGACCGCCTCGGGAAACAGGCATTTAGCAGGCCTCAGGAGAGCGGAGCCTCCGCTTCGGGAGCCGAGGGCATACCTCCGCCCCGAAGCAAGGGCAAAGCAATCCTCCATGCCGATGACGCCAGGCACCAAATCAATCAGGCGCAATCCTTCCGGGCCAACTCCCAAGGGGTTGCCCCGAAGGATCCCAAGGACGAAATTATCGAGGCCCTCCTCCGCCGACTTGAGGAGAATCGTCAGGCGCCGCCGACGGCTTCCACAGCTAGGCCAGATCCAGAGTACGCCGACCTCCGGGCGCAGGTGGAGGAAATGAAACGTAAACTTGCCGAAGGTTCAGGCGAGCCCCTCATTCAACTCCGCACTAGGACCCCCTTCACCCCAAGGGTGTTGGCGGCCAAAATCCCCCACAAATATCGGGGGCAACCCATCAAGCCGTATGAGGGGAAGACGGATCCCCAAGAACACTACAGCCGCTATCAAAATAGCATGATGATGACGGGGGCCTCGGATGAATACTTATGCCGTTGGTTCCTTTCCACCTTGGAAGGACCCGCGTATGAGTGGTTCAACCGGTTGCCCGAGGGCAGCATTGATTCTTGGCAAGAACTTGCCCACCGCTTCCTTACACAATTTGCAGGGAGGCACCGCTCAAAGAAACACTTCTCCCACCTCCTAAACGTGAGACAGCAGAAGGAGGAAACCCTTCGGAGTTTCCTAGAACGCTGGAGGCAGGCCTCCCTCGAGGTCGAAGGTGCGGATGACAGAACCTTGATGGCCCTCTTCCACACCGTCCTCCGCAACGGTAACTTCTCCCGGAGCCTTATCACTGATCCCCCCCGCGATTATACGAAGGCCCTTCAGCGGGGGGATCGATACGCTGAAGCAGAGGAAATCGAGAAGGACCGCCGCAACACGGACCCTTCTCAGAAGAATGAAGGCAGGAACCGGCCCGGAGGGCCTCCCCCTCCGGTCCACCGAGAGGCACAGTACAACGATCGCTCCCGGGGTGGCCAAGCCAGACCCGGGGGCGGTTATAAGAACAATCCGAAGGCTTGGGCGCAACCCGTCCTCCTGGAGCACCCACGCACTCCCCTGACGCACCCCGTCAGCGTCATTCTTGATCATGC